CTCCTTGATCAAGAGGACAGGTGACCCACCACCATTACAGGACATTTTGAGAGATGCTCATAGTCCCCTGGAACTGGCCGACCTAGGAGTGCAAGGAGCAAAAACTGTCCTTTTTGTCCCTCTTACCAAATTACTATAGGCCTCAAAGTATTTCTGTTAAACATCCAAGGATTAGTTCCACCAGTCTGGTACTTTAATTACTGTGTGTCATGTAGATAAATCTTTGGCAAAGACCAACTGTTTTCAGATAAACCTTACCTAGACATATGTTTCTTGATCTGCTATGTATAATTTGTCAGTAGGTTGTAGGAGTAATATGGTTCCCTCTGGTTTTCAAAACTAGCTAGGCATTATCTCTCGCATTGTCTCACCCCTCCATCATGGTTTTCCCACTTAAGGTGCCCCCCCCATTTCCCTCCTTCTCTCTTAATAATACCCTTCTCCTATGGTCCTACCTGTCTTGAGCTCCTTCTTTCCCCTTATCCCCTAGGTTCCTTGTATACTCATCCCTACCCGCTCCCTTAAACTAACTTAATTTTTGTCTCTATCTCTCTTATTAAGGCCTGTTTCCTATTTCTCTTCCCTTTCAGGTTCTTTCTTTTCCTTTACCTCCCTGTTTCCTTTCCATTATCCTGGTTCCTGTAGTCATGTCTGGATATATACTCACTTATCAGGGTTTTAAGACATGAGAAATTCTAAAAGTTAGTTGGAAACATTTAATTATTTTGGTAAACCTTGTACTTCCTCCAAAACTTTATTTAAATCCTATGTTTCTTCCAAGAGATTATCAAGTGAGGTTGATATGTTTTAAAATTGTAGAAATTATAGTTCTCATTCGTTTTCATTTTCTAAGGATATGGTATTTTTTGGTAGCAGATGAAATTGCCAGTTACCTTCTAAACAGCCATAGTCTTATTGTTTTGCTCTATTAATCATAATTTTCAATAAGTTTGGTAATTCTCTCTATTAATACCTATTTTATGAATAATATAGTATTAAGTACCTGTCAAATACAGCTTTGGTATTCTTTCATTTCTTTTGACATCTCAGGAAAACCAAAGTTTGTTTGTTCACTTCACATTTAGGGAACAAAAATCTCTAGCTTTTCTGGCTAAATTTAGCCTATTAAAAATCAAAAAACCTATTCTTCAAGATTATCATATTTATATTTTATTGACCAACTTGCACAGCTGCTAAAAATAGACCATGTAAGGGTATTTTGCTTCTCCGGTGGATGATTTTCAGCTCAACTGGTTGATGCATTTTAGAGTCGGTGGTTATTGGGCTTTAACATCCTCACACCAAAGGAACAACAGTTTGATTCTTCAATTAGGGTTCATCTTATAGTGACTTTAAGAGACAAGGTCTTGCTGTGTTGCTCAGGTTATCATTAATCTCCTTCAGCAGCTTGTGCCATCTCAACTTACCCTCCAAAGTGGCTAGGACAACAGTCATGCACCAATTGTCTAATTGAACATGTGTATATTGAAACATTTGTGTGCTGGATAGCTTTAGTGTCAACACACCTGGGTTGAGGGAGCCTCAATCGGGGAATTGCCTCCATTGGACTGGCCTGTGGCCATGTCTGTGGGGCATTTTCTTGATTGTTGAGTGATGTGGGAGGGCCCAGCCCACTGTGGGTAGTGCCACTCTGGGCAGGTGGGCCTGTGTTGCATAAGAAAGCAGGCTGAGCAGGGGCCAGGTGAGCAAGCCAGTAAGCAGCATTCCTCCATGGCCTGTGCTCCAGCTCCTGCCTCCAGGTTCCTGCCCTGAGTTCCTACCTTGGGCTCCCGGATGAACTGTGACCCAGGATATGTAAGCTAAATAAACCCTTTCCTCCCCAAGTTGGTAGTGGTCAGAGTATTTTGTCACAGCAATGAAAAAACAAACCAGAACAGAAATTGGTACCAGTCAGTGGAGTATTGCTGTGACAGACCTGACCTTGGTGTTTTTGGGGAGGACTGTGGAAGTGTTTGGAACTTTGGGCTGGAAAAGCCATTACGTTCTCAGAGTTCGTTGCTGTGGAGCTTGGAAAAGTTATGCTGAAAGAGTTGTGGATGATGGAGGCCTGCCTTGTGAAGCTTCAAAGGGAAGCGGAGACTATAGGGGCTGTTCCTGTGATATTTTGAGTTGAGAATCTGTGGGTTCTAGTCATCTTGGGCTGAAGAATCAGCTGTGATTAAGAAGAGACCAGAACCTGAAGCAAAACCTTTGCTTTACTGGGACAATTGATTCTGGTTAGCTGAGGCTGGAAAATCAGCTGTAAGTAACAAGAGACCAGCATCACTGTGGTGAAGTCTTCCGGGAGGTATTTCCTCAGGGGCAGCACACAGAGGGGACCTGCACCTCTATCTCAAGCTGGAAGCAGGAGTTAGTAATGTGTAAGATGCAGCTTCAGTTGCAGTTAAGACCCCAGGATTGAAGGGGTCATGGAGAGATTCTGAGGCTTTGCACCCTGAAAGGCCAGAAGCTATTGGTGAAGGTGTAGCCTCAGTTTCAGTAGAGATCCCAGCTTTTTGGAAATGCTGGGACCATGGGATAACCACCAAGGACAGAAGTAGGTGTGGAATGGAGCTGGTCTGGGTCTGTGAGACAAGCTCTGTGTGCTGTGAACAGCAGAGTCAGAAGTGGAGCTGCCAGAACCCTTTGCAGGCCAGAAGATTGTGAGTGAATCCCAGATGTCCAGGCTTGAGCTACTTTGCTGGACTTTGGTTTTGCTTAGGTGTGCCCGATTCTTCCCTTTGAAATAAGACTGTGCTTATTTTGGATTTTACAGAAGCCCACCCACAGTTGAGACTTTTAAGTATTTGTACTTTTTAAGGACTGTGGGGTTTTTAAGGTTGCACTGTCTTATGTCGTGATATTAATGTTAACATCATATTTTGGGGACAAGAATTAGAAAGCTTATGGTTTAATAGTGATGTGTTTGTGTGTCAGGTTGACAAGGGGTCAATTGTGCTGGGTAGTTTTAGTGTCAACTTAACACACCTGGGTTGAGGGAGCCTCAATTGGGGAATTGCCTCCATTGGACTGGCCTGTGGCCATGTCTGAGGGGCATCTTCTTGATCCTTGAGTGGTATGGGAGGGCCCAGCCCACTGTGGGTGGTGCCACCCCTGGGCAGGTGGGCCTGTGTTGCATAAGAAAGCAGGCTGAGCAGGGGCCAAGGGAGCAAGCCAGTAAGCAGCATTCCTCCATGGCCTGTGCTCCAGCTCCTGCCTCCAGGTTCCTGCCCTGAGTTCCTACCTTGGGCTCCCGGATGAACTGTGACCCAGGATATGTAAGCTAAATAAACCCTTTCCTCCCCACGTTGGTAGTGGTCAGAGTATTTTGTCACAGCAATGAAGGAACAAACCAGAACAATTTGAAATAGTGCCCTCTTTTTAAAAAAAATTCTTTTTCATTTTAGGACAGGATATTGTAGCACAGGATGGCCTGCACTTACCATGTAGTCCAGGCAGGCCTTGATCATTCCTGCCTTGACCTCCAGAGTGTACCATGATGCCTGTCATGAGATTTCCATTTTGTTGTTGTTGGTTTAGACTGGTTGACTATCAGCGACATAATATACTTCAACTTAGTAGAGATGTTGTCTAAGACCTGCCTTAATCAAATGGGTCCCAGTTCAAACTGGTTACTGTTGAAGTAGCATGCTTCACAGCCCCTCAAAGAAAGAAAGAATAAAGTGTGTTCTAGTGTAAAATGGCAGTTTATTTTCCAGGTTGGTAAAAGGTAAAGAAGATAATGTATTTATATACTGGATAAAATATGAATAGAAATATAATGATATAACAGATAATGGGTCTTTGAATTGATAAACATGACCTCTTTTAACTATTGTGTTGCAATACTCTAGGTCAAATAAAGAACTTTAAAGAAAACTCTCCATGACTTCTATTTCCTTGGATTATAGAGTACTTTAAAATCTGACTTGATATATAAGTTTCAATCTGTCTAGTGGGTTTTAGAAGTATTTCTGTGTGAATTATTCCACATTCTCCTGGCTTCTAATGCATCTGGAAATGTCTTGATCCTGGGCTACATTAAACTTGAATGTGCCGTCACCTTACCTCAGATGGGCTCAAGAAGAAAAGCATCTGAGGCATCAAGGTTTTGTGTGAGCCTTTTCTAAAAATAGGCACAGGAGCAAACGTTTCAGGTCCCTCAAAGAATTATTCTGGGGCATTTTTACTCTATGCAGTCTTACAATAGGGTGAAAGCAGATCATGAACTCCCTGATTGTTAAACAGAAGAATGATGTGATGTCTCTATCTTACGAGCAGGGAGAATGATGGATGGACCCTGGAAGAGATTTGAGTAGGAACGATGATGTGGCTAAATGTATTAGAGAGAGAGAGAGAGAGAGAGAGAGAGAGAGAGAGAGAGAGGAACAGTATCTTCTGACTCAATAGTCTTCTGTAACTATGTCATGACCTCATCAAGGGGTGGCATGTGTGACCCTCCCCATTGATCCTGGTGGGTCTTTGTGACTGATTCAATCAATAGGTTAAAGTGATACCCTGATGGTTAATCTTGATTGGATCTGGAATCAATTAGCTGCACACCTCTGGTGGTATGTGAGGGTTTCTAGGAAAGATTAAGAGAGGGGAGAAGACCCTCCCCCAAGAGTGGGTCACACCTTCTAGTGACAGCCCAGGTAGGAAGAGGTTCCAAGGAAAAGTAGCTGCTTTGCCTGCTCACCTTTGCTTGGTGACAGAACCAGCTTCTTCTGCCTTCCAATATGGATTAAAGACGAGCAGCTCTCCAGGAATCCCCCAACTGTTCAGCAACAGGTTGCAACTGTTGAGGCATCCAGGCTTATGGATTGAGCAGGTGCTGGTTCAGTCTCTGCAGTGTGTATACGGACTTTATGGGACTATCTAGCTCTCATTGTGGAGGCCAATCTGATAACCACCTTTTATAATATAGACTCATTCTATCAGCTCTCTTCCCCTTGAGAACCTTGACTAATACTGGATATTATGACTTCTTTGGTGGCATGTGAAAGTGTCATACACTTCTCCCATTGGATGCTTACTCTTGCAAACATACTGTGAAGCAATCTGTGAAGCCCATGAGGAGGCCCATGAGGAGAGGAACTGACTGGAGATCATGGTACACAGATGATAGCATCGATCTCTAGTGAGCCACTAGACTCTGACCAGCACATCATGGCATAGCTCCAGAAGATAGCATTGATCTCTGCTGAGCCACTGTGTACTTGGATCTCTGTTTCAGGTGACATGCTGCAAGTGATGTCACATGGTACAGCAAAGAGCTGTCCCCAGTGAAGTCTTGACCAAAATACAGACCCATGATCATCATTGTTTTAATGTCCTATATTTGGGAGCAATTTGTCAATAGATACTGAAGCAGCTGAAGTCAGCTGGGCCCTAACTGCATCACAGACATTGGGATACAAACAGCCAACCTTGAGTCAGTCCTTCCCACTGCTTACTCTTCACTTTCTTTGACTGGTCTCTATCACCCCAGCTTCCATCCCCTTTCCTGACATCATCTACTTATTTTTCATTGTTTTGATTACTATTCCCTAAATCCCCTCTCAGGTTTTTAAGACCCCAAGCTAGACACATTATGTTAATAAAGGCTTGATTAAAGCTGAGAGTAATTAGAGGATTAAGTATAATTCCTACATTCTATTATCTTATTTATAGAACTTGATGGCAGGCTCTAAATTTTAACAGCAAGTGCTATGTTTAAAACTTAAACTGACATTCCTTCTGACTTTGACACATTTTAGCATTTTTTATTTAAATCTAATATTGCAATTACTCATATATTTCAACTCTTACCTTCCACTATATGTGTCATACATTTAAAAAGTAATTATATATAAAATTGTTTGGACTTCTTCAATATTATTTCATCCCCCAGAAAATCTACCTAAATTGTTTATGACTTCCATTAATGTTTTATACTATGAAACCTGCCGATATCAAGAAATAATACATGATAATTCTTGTTTTAAACTTTCTAAAAATGTAATTATGATGTCTTTCTGTACCTTGTGTTAATTATTTGGATATATATTTCATTCCCTGTGTGGTATTTTGTCATATGACTATCAACATAGTCTAATCTACCATTCATAGGTATTTATTTAATTTCCAGTGGGTTTTTTTTTTTTTTTTTTTTTTTTTTTACCTAAAATTTTTTCAAAAATGCTTTTTTTAAACTCC